GACGAAAACCTTTCATGGAATATGCACATTGAAAAAATAGCCAAGAAAATCGCATCGGGCATTGGAGCAATTAAACGTTGTAGGCCTTTTGTTAATCGAACCACGCTTGAGTCCGTTTTCAATGTCTTAGTTCAACCGTACTTTAATTACTGCAGCGAGGTCTGGGGGCATTGTAACAAGGGTCTTTCGAATAAGCTCCAAAAGTTGCAAAACCGGGCTGCCCGTATTCTGACCTTCTCCAGTTATGACACAAGCGCTGATCCTCTTTTTGTGCAACTTAACTGGAGACGGTTAGATACTCAGCGACAAATACAAGTGGCCACCATGGTCTATAAATCTATACATGGTCTTGCGCCCGACTATCTTGGTTCTCTTTTCACTAAATATGATCCTCCATATAATCTAAGGAACTCTGAAAACAAACTAGCTGTTCCATTGCCCCGCACCAATTTCCTGAAAAATAGCTTTAGCTATAACGGTGCGGTTATCTGGAATAGCTTGTCCCCTGAATTGCGGCAAGCAAAATCACTTCAATCCTTCCGAAATGGTTGTCGCAATTTCTTCGTCTGAATCGACAAAACACACACGGCATCTATGTAAAGCAGAATTTCTTTATTTTTTTCTATTTCACTTTTAAATTTTAGATCATGTTTATATAGATTAAAATAGATTGTAACTGTAATAATAGATTGTAATAATATTATTATTTTATCTGATAGATTTACCGTGTCTAAATAAAAATAAAGTTCAAGTTCAAAGTTTTGTTGACTTAACTTATTTTGTGTTATAGGTGGGAATTAACTACCAGCCTCCCACGGTTGTTCCTGGCGGTGACCTGGCCAAAGTTCAGCGCGCTGTGTGCATGTTGAGTAACACCACAGCTATTGCAGAGGCCTGGGCCCGTTTGGATCACAAGTTTGATCTGATGTACGCCAAACGTGCGTTTGTCCACTGGTATGTGGGTGAGGGTATGGAGGAAGGAGAGTTCTCTGAGGCTCGAGAAGATTTGGCTGCACTGGAGAAGGATTATGAAGAGGTTGGAGTGGAATCCGCCGCGGGAGAAGGCGAAGAAGATGAAGGGGATGAATACTAAGAACTATCGCTTGCTGCAGTTCAATTCTATATTAAAGTCTGTAAATGGTGCAGAGGATGTGGAAATAAAGTGAAAAATGTCCAATAACTAATTTGTATGTACATCAGAAAAGGTATCAAGTCTGAGCAACTGGGTCTGTTGGCGGCGGATATTTTGGTTTCTAGGACGTTAAGCGATCAGTAGTACATTTGCTCGTCTTTAACTGCTGCGGGATGTTGGCCTATCGCAGACTACTCTGAAGCCCTCTCCCCCTCCTCCCCCGCAGTTGAGTTTTTCTTGAGAGTAAACTTGAAAGTTTTTAGTAACGGTTACCAATTCAGGTTACGAATTCATGATTTCATGGCGGAGCGTGGATTCCAGTTCTTGATGATGAAATAAGAAAACAGTAATGTTTCTTTGTTATTTACGACTGTTGATGGGAAAAGAGACTTGCGAGAAGACCCAGACTCGGCTTGTTATTTTAGGAAAAAAGAAGTAGATTACAGTCGTTACTTCATTTGCTTTTGTCTACATGCGCTGAACAAGAAGAGACTGAAGAGATTCTGGGACACGCAAAGCGCATTTGATTAGAGCAGCTGGAATGTGCGTATGTAACAGAGGCCGGATCCGTACCATTTACAATTTAGACAGAAGGTAAAGAGCGGATGGTAAGGCCTCCGAGTACTTCGGAGTAATACGGTGGCTCTCAAGGGCCATCCACCTACAAAAGTTTTCATGACTTTATCGCGCGATAAGTTTTGCTAAGCCCATTCATTCAAAAACTTTGCAAGCAACATTATCGCGCGATAGATAAACTTATCGCGCGATAGAACACTGTATCGCGCGGTAGAACAACTTATCGCGCGATAGAACAACTTATCGCGCGATAGAACACTGTATCGCGCGATAGAACAACTTAT